CATAGCTACCACGCTTGGCAGGCGGATTGGCAACCGTAGACCTTTACCATTTTGACTTGTCATTTAGAATTTTATAGTAGAACCACGTTTCAACTTTATTATGGTTGTAACGCGTAAGAGTCGTCTCGACCGCGGCAGGACCACACTCTCACAGAATACCAGCGCAAAATAACAGCTCAGTGCTGCTGTGTTGAATGTAGAGAACCGCGTAGACGCTTTTATTGGAAACGAGGAGTCTTCTAGGCCCCCTCAGTTGCCTATGTTAGGCAGTGGACTTTTGATAGACTATGACGGTTTTTTTAAGTTACCATTAACAGGTACCTGAATTGATCAGGTACCTGTTATTGTAGACTATTTTAAATCAAAACTGTTCAAAATTCGTTTTTTAATAAAAATGAAAGACGATTTTCTTGTAATGAATAAATATTAGCTTTAGTTACATATTCTCCACTTTAGAACGATACCTTTTTCCATATTTCGGACAGTAGCATGAAACCACGCTCATAATATTTTTGTTTTTTACAACAAAAAATCTCGTCCAGGCGATTTTTTATATCGTTCTTTTTTAACATATCGTTTTACTTTCTCCTCTTTTAAAAATCATAACTTTCGTCTTACTTGCGTTCACTTTCATTCCCTTTCTTTGAACGACCTGTTCAATAATGTAACCATCACTTGCATCTCGGCTACCGACGATGCAAATATAACTTGATCATCGGCGTACAAAAGGCGTTTAACGATTACCTCACCCATTCTTAAGCCGCATTCTTCACAACTTCTTCGACAACTGTCAATAAATAGGTTGACAGCCACGGGAAGTACGAGTAGTCTACACGGGAGTACTTTAACAGAGGACAAGCAGATAAAACCAATACAAAAAGAAAAAATACTATAACAGATGACGTTATACGTGAAGCCGTGTTGTGGCCATATTATGGTTGTAGCCCCAATGAGTCGGCTCGACCACAAAAAAAACATGCTTTGTGTTGCTGTATATAGTGAGAGTAGAGAATCAGAGATCCAGAAATACTCACTTGTAACGAGGCATTCTATTTTAGTTCACCAGGTTGACAACATATCTGGATTTTGATACTTAATCGAGGATAGATCTGATGTTTATGGGCCACAGCATCCATTTACCATCAGGTGAACTGTTGTGCTCGTTTGTTACAATTAGTCTACCAAAAATATTAAAATAAATAAAAGGAATCAGAAACATATTAAAAAGATGCGTCGCAAAAGATCTTTATGATATAAAAGACATAAATTTTAGTGAATAAATTCTAATTCATATTTGAAAATTTATAATTGTTAATAATAATTAGTAATAAAATATCAAAGATATTAATAAAATAGTTAATAGGTTACATATCCATCACTCTCAACAAATACTAACATTGCTATTATTTACCCACTCCTTACCACTCTCACACAATATAGTCACAAATGTGAATGTTGTGTTTTGAATGAATTTTTCACCAATAAGCAAGAGAAAAAATAACATAAATTATATAAAGATATGGACAACTTTGTTGCTTTGAAGCGATTTCTACCAGGCAAACACCTTGCAGGGAATACAATGATCAGTGAGAAATGGGTGTACGCAAGTTATTTGAAAATATACACGACATCTATTCCGACACATGTAATAAATAAATGATAAATAATATACTTAATAAATGCATTTAAATTCCATAAATATAGAAATACCTTTACAGGAACGTAAAGAAGTTAGCAATAAATGAAATAAAAGCCATGATGCAAGGAAAATTAGCTTTATTTAATAAGACGTAAGCTTAAAGAGAGATAAATTAATAGTATTTTTTAAAATTTAATAATACCTATCAATTTATTACATTACACAATTTAAATGATATAAAAGAAGCTTTTCGACGTCCTTTGATTTTTGGAGACACATCCAACCCCTTCCGAGTGTATGCTGACTTCAATAGTTCTCGATTTTTTTTTAACACTTACATGGTATTTCGTATGCAGAATATCTTATGTTATTTTTCTTTACCTGGACACGCCATGAGTTAACAACAAAAATGCGAATAACATTTCACTTCTCACTGGTGCCAAAGGGGATAGAAGTCAAAAAAAAATCTTACTGTAATATACTTGACTACATATTACGTTTGCACTCAGGTATACCAAAAGTTAAAAAAGGTAACATTATTAATTATTTTATATTAAATTATTAATTCTGGATATCCCTTTTACGAAAAACTAATGGTATACCGCCTTCGATGGTTGCGGTTGGTGACTATAAAACATCATCTACCACAACCACAGGTGCTGCAGCTATATTCTGGTTATGGCTCGACTGGGAAGGGACCACACTGTTACAGAATACCTGTGAAAAATAACAGCCTGGTGCAACTTTGTTTCGTATGGTGGGTTGTGGGACCGGAGACCCTTTTTAGTCTAGATGAGGCATTTCATCGTAGTCTTTAAGGGTAACAACAAATCTGCATTTTATTTCTTAATCGAGTGTAATAGATGTCTATGTGCCACAGTATACACTAACCATCAGGTGGACTGTGTGCTCGTTTGTTATCCTTATTCTATAAATAGAAACGTGCCATAAAGGTGTTATGACTTTCTTACGTGGAATAACTATTTCGTAAAGGTTTACGTTATTTGTCTTAATCGTCTAGTACCAGTCGTCACTCGCCTTTGATAATGCTCTCAATCGCTGGCCTGGGTAGCGTACATCAAGTGTTGACAAGATAGTTATATCACCGTCTATAAAGGTCATATGACCTTTCTGATATTTTTCTAGTCGCTTGCACGACGTTCACGAGATGAAATGGTGTGATTGAATCTCACGCTGCCAACCCTTCATCATCATCATCATTACAGCCCTTCACAAGTATACTGCTGAACAAAGGCCTCCCCCAAGTAATGCCACAAAGCACGGTCCTAGGCCACTTGCATCCATCGACTTCCTGCATGTCTTACCAGGTCGTCACTCCATCTAGTGGGGAGTCGCCCTAAACTACGCCTACCGGTACGAGGCTGCCACTCGAGAACCTTTCTTCCCCATCGGTTATCGGTTCTTCGAGCTATATGGCCGGCCCATTGCCACTTCAGCTTACTAATCCGTTGGGCTATGTCGGTCACTGTGGTTTCACTGCGGATATCCTCATTTCTGAGTCTATCACGCAGAGAAACTCCGAGCATAGCCCTCTCCATAGCTCGCTGAGCGACCTTGAGCGTCCTCATACGGCCAACAGTGAAGGACCACGTCTCAGATCCGTAAGTCATCACTGGCAACACGCACTGGTTATACACTTTAGTTTTCAGAGATTGAGGTATACCTGACGAGAAGATGTGTCGTAATTTCCCGAACGCTGCCCAGCCGAGTTGAATCCGTCGATTGACCTCTTAATAACTAATATTCATAATCATCATCATCATCATTGTAGCTTATCAAAATCCACTGCTGATCATAAGCCGCCATCATAGCTGGCATCTCAGGGAATTTTTGCCATAGTTATCCCGTTAGACATGGCAACATCCGTGTTTATATTGTTATGAGTTGTTATCCGGAAGATATTGCAGCCCGTATCGAGTTTCAGTTTACCTCTGTTGCCGAATTCAGTTATCATCGAATGTCGTTAAGTTTATACGGCAAAGTTCTGGAAGAATACCGTATGGGTACATAAAAATAGCAACACAGTTAACTAATTTCGGAGATATCGTGTAACAAATATTACATAAATATGACTATGCATTGATATCCAGCTTCTTTATTTGAATTTGGTTAAAACATTTTAATTTCGCCATAGACTTATTATACTACTGCGAATTTATCTTATAAAAGGATATGTAAATAATAGCATGAATAACAGTTATCATTTTAAAGATATAACAAAAGATATAACATTTCATGATAACCGGTTGATATCTCAGCTTTGTTTCATAATTTGCTCATAATTTATATATAAATATAGAATTAAACAATTTTTTCTCACCAGATGGAGCGACGACCTGATAAAATCTATACGATTTAGCAACTTTAAATAAAAATACTCCTTCCTTAAAGACAAACAGGAATTTGTTCATGCAATCCCTATAATGTTGCATCTGTTAATGGGAATTAATCACTTACTATCAGGTGAGCTGCATTTTCCCTCTTCTTTAAAAAAAATTACATATCAAGGTGTTGATGGATGCAAATAGTTTAAAAGCGTACTTGGTAGCAATCGATGGAGGAGGCCTAAAATCAGCAATTTACTTGTAATTGGCTGTAGTGATACAAATTTTTCGACTACACGAACAATATTTTTAATTTGTATTTAAAGTATTTACCAATACAAGCACGAGGTCCAACGCCAAATGGCAAGTACACGTATTTATTGCTAGAATCAAATTCGTCGGGAAAAAACCTCTCCGGCCGGAACTGCTCAAATCATTTTGCATCGCTTGTATAGGAATTAAAATTTGAACCCCCGGGTCGATTTTCACGTCAATTTCGGGTATCGTATATTTGCTTACGCATTGAGGAATTAAGAATCCTAAGGAAGGGAACATCCTCATGCCCTCTTTGAACGCGCACTCCAGATACGTCATTTCCTTAATTGCGTCGTAACTCATTTTGTTGTCATGCTTAGCCAAGACCCGATCAATTTCTGATTGTACTTTTTTGTACGTCAGGATTATAAGCCAACTGAAGTAAAGTGTAGCTCGTGGCGGAAGATGAAGTCTCAAAGCCGGCGGTAAAACAAAGACTTGCGCTGCCATTAGCAAGTCGTCCATCTCCAGTTTTACGATTTCGGGCGTTCCATCAAGTTTGAAGTTTTCTATAGACTCTCCTACGATGGTACCTTTGGCTTTGCATTCTAATAGCAGGTCTCGTTTCGCCCCGAAGGTTAAAAGTTTCTTTACTTCATGATTTCCTTTATAAGAGCGACGATGTCGGTCTCAACTTCCCCTTGCGTTTTTGCATATTTAAATATTATAGGGAAAATAAGTTTAAGCATACCAATAATAAGCTACATTGCGGTGGGTACGAACATTTTTGCTCCTAACTGTCGGAATGCTGAATTTTCATCGTTAAGCGAGTCTGTCTGAAGACCGAAGCCACAAGCTCCGATAAAATCAGTTGTGTAGCGAGCCAGCAATTCACGCGCGTGTAATATGTGGCCACTTGAAGCGGCGTCCAGGACTCGTACTTGTAATTTCTCAGCTCGCTCGACGATCCACGTAAACATTGCCTTCATATTGCCGCTAGTAAAAGCAGGGGTCATGCGCTGTCGCAGGAGCCGTCAGACGTCACCGTCCGCGAAGAACAAATTACGCAGCATCGGTTCAATTACTTTCTTGTGTGAGTTTATACCGCGTGGATAAAAGTGTATGAAATCGGTTGTCAAAACTCGTTTCACAATCTCGGGATCCCTCACCACAAGCTCCGGCCGAAACGCTCGGTAGAACCCGACGACCTTCTCTTTCGGATACTTCCAGTACATTTCAACTACAATTTCCGTTTGGCTCGCCTGCATCAGGAAATTTCTTGCATTGTTGCCCAGGAACGGTATAGGTTTGTCATATTTGATTCCCCTCTGCTCCCAGTATTTATACGTCCTTGTGCCAAATACATATAATGACAATACTGTTATTATGGCAATAATTACAGTAATCATATTGAATAAATCACAAAGAATTGACTCCGACTGTTTGTAGCAGAGTGATGCAAGACGCAGACCACCGTTTTAATATATAGGTACTTCGGTTGTCCAAGCAACAAGATAATGCAGTGACTCCTCATGAAACTTTGTATCACTTATCAAACAAAGGTAAGCGTTATGTAATCATTGTTATATACCTTACATTGTTATGATCTTATCGATGAAAATAAAATGCATAAAACCGAAAATCTTAAACATGTGCATGATTTAGTTTCGGTTGTAATTAAAAGAAAATTAATTTCATCCTAAATAAAACTAAATTGTTTTGGGTCATATCATAAAACAGCTTCCAGAGTTACGGAGCTTTTAGTCCGATCTATGCTGAACGAGTTCACAGCAAATATTTAAATGTCAATGCAAAATACCAATTTAAAAATAATAAATCCAATAGTCAATTTAAATAGGCAGTAATGTCAGTATATAAAATAATGTAATTTAAATAAATTATAATTAATAAATAACAGGTTTACACAATTTTATCTTAGGAGACGAGATCAATTAAAACATTCTGTGGCAGCAATGCCGGACGATATGACAGTCTAACCTTTCCGTGATCATCGCCAGGACAGTGTTGGAGCTGGCCCGCACTCTGCGCACCAGGACGCGGTCCGCTTGCGCATGGTGGCTGAAAGCAATTGGTGCGCGCATCAGCGAACATACCAGAGGCGCTACAAAATCGAGGCAGCCCGCCCTAAACGCAATATTGTATTAAAAGCGGAGAACTCTGTAATAGTACTATTTTTTAATCACAGCCTGTAGTTCTTTTCTGAAGATATAGGGCTCCATTACGGAACTCCCTTGTAGGGCTTGGCATGCGGGTTGGCAACCTTTTTTTTTATTATTTTGAGTTGTTACGAGAAAGATCCTGCTGGCCATCACTTGTTTCATTTCCTTCTTACGACTTCACTATACGGCAAATACAATGCAATATAGCAGTACTATGTACAATATACACGCATTGTATACTGTATACATATATTGTATACATATATTGTATACATATATTGTATATTGTATGTTGATACGCTGCTGATAATAGAAGGGATGGTTCTTTTTTAAGTAAAAGACATTCAGGAAGTAAACGCAGAGTCTTGGCTATATACCGTAGGGAGTAAGACTCTATGATAATTTAAGTTTTTAATATATCTGATATATACCTGGTAGTGGTTTGATAGGGGCTCATTAATGGCGAAGAAAGATTTTTAATTGTTCTTAATTCCTACAGAAGTTGTTAACTAAAGCGACACGTGAAATACAATCAATAATTTCTACGACCCAACGGGTCCACATTAGGTATGTAATTTACTTTTAATCAGTGTTGCGTTGACTACGCGTTTGTGGTCTCCGTAATACGCGACAGTGACGTATTTGAACATGTTAATGTTTTAAATATCGCTACCCTATTAAATTAAATTTTAATTAATAATGATACGTAGGCATTATATTAGGCTCTTTGGATAAAATCGACCTATTTACTGTTTTAAATTGGCAACATAACATTTGAACATATAAAGCGCTTAGGGACTAAACGTTCTTCGTGAATTTGTAGTACGCAAGCAGCCCTAGCTCGTTCATAGTGAAAACGAATTTAATTGTTAAATGGAATTTTAAGTGTTGATTTTTTTATGGAATAAATGTGATAAAAAGTACACAGTTCACCTAATTGTAAGTAGAGTGGATGCTGTGACCTATAGATATCTACACTTATCTTCGATCAAGATTCAAAATTCAGAAAAGTATTATCCCTGAGGATTAAGACAGAATGCCTTACTATTTATGACTTTCTATAATTGACGTAAAAGTTATTTTAACCTTAATGTAAATTATAAATCAATTAAAGGCGTATGTAAAAGTTTATTAATTGTATATATATAAAAATCAACCAATTACATACACTATTATGCACACTTTTGTATCTATACTTTATTTACATTTAAAAACATTACTTAGGCTACTTTTGTAGCAGACAACTGTGACCTTCAATCACTTATAAATATACTGAATACACGAACTAAACAACGTCTAACACTAAATTAGATCGCGCGCGATAAAGAGCGCGCTACGAGATCAAAATTTTCGTCACACGTCCAATCTCAACAGCGCTGCTGCTAGAGCTAGTTACCGCTAGATTTAATACTTAATAGCACCAAAACGCCACAGTGCCATAGCGCCCTGGCAACTACTTACATAGCACGCGCTATGAGCTGTAGAGAGATAGCGCGCTATAATATGGCGCTATGCGCTATATTAACCGCCATTACTTACTACCACTAAAAAAGATCTCCGGCTCTCTACATTCACCATATAAAACACAGCACGATTGAGCTGGTATTTTCCGCTGGCATTTTGCGAGAGTTTCCTGGTTCTTTCTCGGTCGAGATAAACCGTTCGTTTAAGCTAAGCTATAATATAATATTTTATTACTATATGATTCACGTGCTCCTTGTTGAAGAAAAATATCAACGAATATTCACAAAAAGAAGAGTTATAAAAAATAAACGTTTTTTTTTCCTACTTTTAATTCTTATTAATTACTCTTTTCTTTCCGAAAGCAGTCATCGAACGCAGGCTTCTTTCTGTAATCCCGTGAAGCGGCAAAAGCCTCTCGGTAAAAAGGACGAGCATCACCGGAAAGGGCAGGCATTTAGGCAGGATTTATAACTAAGTATGTCCGTGTTGCGGGCAAAAGTGGGGCGGAGATGTTTATTGTAGTAAAATTTAATTTACTACAATAAATAACTCATTTAATTTACTAACAACAAATAAATAGAGAAGGGAAAAAATAAACAAACTTAGGAATATAAAATTCCAGGCTTCATATTTGCCCAGTAGCAGATACAGAATCTACAACGCTTAAAAAGTATACCAATTACAAAATACACAATGTAAAAAGACACAAGTGTGTATTTATTTGCATACGTATATAAAAATATACTTATATTACAACTAAGTCTCGATTTTTATATCAATACAATCTTAGTGGTTGAAACAGTAATTAAAAAAACCCCAACTGCGTTTAAGTTAAGTGCTGTATTGTCTTTAAATGAAAAAATCGCGATGCTCTCAACTTAAATCACTTTCACCAGCTTTAATATTGAACGGAATAGAAGCCTTTGGCACTGATATTTTACAATTTTATTTTATTTTACATCAACATATTACGAAATCGGTGTGTCAATAAATCCTTGACTACGGACGTCAGTTGGTTGGTTTGGATGATAAGATATCTTTCGAAAAATAAACTTTTTCCGAAAAAACTGAACTCATCACTTTGATTTTTTTTATTAGCTTTAGATTTTAATCCTTATGAAGGTTTTTGAATTTCACTGTTGTAAACTGTCCTGTTCGTTAAAATTTGAAACATTTTCTTTTAATAAAAGACGAATAACCGGTATTAAGCAATTATTTTCGTATTAATTAAACAGAAATATATTTTGAGCTTTAAACGAAATAAGTGTTTTCGTTATTAATAAGAGTAAATTGATTATTATTCAAATCAACATGAGCGTGCAGGTGTGCACTTTTAGATTTTTCAAATTTTTGTATTAGCGGATGCATTATATAAGTATTATACAACCTTGGTTAAGAAAAATTTAACGACACCTCATAATATGTCACAATCCATTGAGCTGTTTAGTCTATAGAGCGTGCCGAAAAAAAGACATACAATACATACATACAATACATACTCTCGCAAAACATTACCCTCTGACAGGTGTAGTCGGGTATAAAATAGCTAGAGACATGAAAATAACCTATTCACTGATCAAACTACACTACGGATAATTAGTTTAAGAGAAGATAGCAGTAACAATGGCCTTGTTGACTGGGTTTTGGGGGCTGCGCCTGGTCAATGATAAGTTCAAATTCAAAATATTTGTTGTAAGTAAAGTATTAAAGGCGTTAATTTAAAATAGTGTGTGTAATATTAAAATTCTCACCAACTTAATATAATGGATTTCCGCAAGTAACGCCTGATTCTATTAATTAACTGATATTCTTATCAGTTCCTTGGTCAATTATTCTCACAGGAGATATAAATAAAAATTGTATGTTCCTTTTCATTCTTTCTTCCTTTTCTTCAAAGACGTTACATGAGTCCACGAGTCCTCCTCCTATGTCCTGAGGTCATTTTAAATACACAAATTTCACAAGGATAAACATCCAGACCCGGAGCAATTATTTGTAGTCCATACAAATACTTTTTACGTGCGGTCTTCGAACCCGCGGCCCTAAGACACTGAGCCACAGAGTGATCGGAGTTACAGATAAGGGAGCTTTGCTACGCTCCACCTCAATAATGTAAAAAAATATTACAAAATTATGGCATGTTGCCGCAATAAATACATAGAGTGTTCAAATATTAGATTGTAATCTCGAATGGTGATGTCGACAATGAATTATTAATAATTTAGGTAAATCCTACAAAATTAACTAGTCTGGCCAGAAATAATGTTACAATAAAAAGTTATTTCTTTCCTCTTTAAGAATTTAAATTAGGACTACGCTTATTATGTAATGTGGTAGCATACCAACAAAAATAGATAGATGGAGCTCTGCGTACATTTCAGCTGAAGCTGAAACCATGTTCAACTGCTTCACAAGCACTCCGGTACACGTCTTTCTTTTAGAGCGCTTTAAAATTTACTGTTGGAGTTAATTCGACATATTCTTGGGTAGTTCGCGAACAACCTAGGTGGGAAGAGTGCCTCTTTAGGTGGACTAGTTCTTCGACAATCTCGTTCTTAGTTCTTTATAATACATTTATTTTTCTGGCGTCCCTTCTATTATGGAGTGGCGCTACGTGGCCAACCGACTAATTTATTTTTAATCTTAGCGCTTTTACCAGAGTTTCTTATTAAAGTATTTAATTTATAGTCAATGTTTAAAAAACAAATATTGCTAACTCGTAATGTCAGTATGAAAGTGGTAGTAAACAGTATATAACTACCGCA